CTTGTGGACAAATTCCGGGGTGGCGGAGTGGGTATAGCTCCAAGAATGAACAATGACGAGTGCAGTCCAGCAACTCTTGTTTCTGCGAACTTCCCCAAGTTTGTGGCGAAGACCTCATGTACTTGCAGTCGAGGCGACTGCAATGGCGGCTAATGCAGCGGAGTGTTTTGCGCACATGGTTCGGGAACTTGTGCTCGAGAACACCGTCAGGCAGTGTGATGAGGTCACCGAACTCTAACATATTGGCAAACTTGTAATGGTTCGCCCAAGGGCAGCCACTCTCCATCGCTTTCCAAGTAGCATCACTCCAATCATCAAGATGTCGGTTCGTGTACAGGACGACGGTCATCCATGGGTCCTCTTCGAAGTCCTCTCTGGTTGCTTCGTCGATCGAAGTGTGACCGTTGTAATGCCGCACTGATCTTGCACAAGTAGGGAACGGTTCTGCTAAGCGCATGTGCGTCTCGGGACTCATGCTCATGCTTGTCGACGGGCTTGATGACATTATGCACCCTACACATCACGCACACATACCAAACGATACGTACTCGTAAACAAATTCGGCAAATGATCCAACGGTGAGGCCAACACCCAGTCGTCACGTCCGGAACAGAATATTCACTAGCTTTCTACATGCTTTGAAGCGCAGACACTGCACAATGTGTTCGTGCAACTGCCTTTTTCCATTCCTTACTACCGCTGAAGGTACATGCCTATCTAAGCTGCACTATCTATAACATGTTTAACAACGGGAGTCGTAAATACCCAGCAAAGGATGACAGAAAAATGCGCAGTCTTTGTAGTTTAATTGTTCGGAGTCAGTGAAAAAACAACTCGTTCGAGGTTAGACTGCAAAGCGGGTCCGACCGAGGGGCACAAGGAAGACCACAGTCAGATCGACGGGCATGTGGAAACGCAAAGTTCGACGGGATCCGAACTTATGGACGGTGCGAGATACAGATAGAGAGAGAGAGACATGTTTTGTGCTTGCGCGTTTGGTGAAATCCGCTGCGCACCAGGAAAACCATAGTGTCGTTGGTGACTACACAAGATTGAGTAGTCTGCCGCCATCCGAACTTGTTCTGCTGTCCGGTTTCACAAGGTGTGAAGTTCGGTGGCAGATGCAACCAACGTTCGACGGCCGGAATCGAAGAACCATTTCGAATGTCGCGCCAGGGGAAAACGCGAATTGCGGATCCAGGCGAACTTGTGCTCTTGTTGCACTCCACGGGGCGCCAGAACGACCACAGTCAGAACTGAGAACACGCCAAAATGCGAAGTTCGCCGACATCCGAACTTGACGAGTGTGTCGGGATCCGTACTTGCATGGTTGGTGAAATCCAAGAGGCACATGGTCTACCACAGCCACAAACGAGGTCCGACAAGAAGGCGAAGTCCGCCATCAAACCCAATTTGCGTGTCGTCCGGTCTCGCCACATGCGATGTTTGGTCTTGGATGCCACTAACGTTCGAAGATCTGATTCGAGCAAGCATGTTCGGCGATTCCGTTTCGAAACAACGTGAAGTTCGAAAACAGACAGACTCCGTTATTGTTCAAATCCACAGGGCACCCGGCTAGCCACAAACATATCGTGCGGAAGGTGGGAACCTGAAGTTCGCCGGGATCCGGACTTCGCGAGAGTGCGCAAGAGAGAGAGACAACTGTCCGCCGAACTCGCAGTCCCACACTCTCTTGAAGTCCGGATCCCGGCGGATTACACATTTTCAAATATCCTCTGGTGTGGCTGTGGTCTGGGGTTGCCCCGCGCATTTTCACAACAACAGAAGTTCCCCCGCATCCGAACTTCACGTATTGCCCAAACTAGGCATTGATGCACGGTCGTTAGCCATGTCCACATCCGAACTTAACATCTCGCGAAATCGAACAGTAGAAGAAGTTCGGATTCCGCCGAACTTCGCGTAGTCATCGGACCTCCGATGCGCCTGTGGATTTGGAGAGCGACAAGATTCGTGCTTGTGCTGTCGTTCAAAACTAGGGGCGCTTGAGAGGACAAATGAAAAGTCAAAGTTTGGCGGAATCTGAACTTTTTCTGCTGTCCGATTTCGCGATATGTTAAGTTTGGAGGGTTGTACATCCAACGGCAACACCAAGACCACAGCCTTGTGAAGGAAGATGTGAAAATGCGAAGTTCGACGGGATCCGGACTTCAACAGAATGTGGGACTGGGAGATTGGCTGAGAGTTCAAGAGAGAGGTGGACGAAGAGATGGAGAGAGATTGAGAGACATCGAGAGAGATAGATGCAAACGGGAAGAACCGGGCGGACAAATGCTGGCATGAGGGAACGAATTTGCACGAGAGTTAGATCTCCGGGTTCGTTGATAACCAAGGTTTGATGCGGCCCGATGACCAATGTTGGCTGTCGGGCCACATCGAACCTTGTTTAACAGCAGATCGGGCGGCGTAGAAGTTCACCAGCATCCGCGTTTTTCTCTCTGTCTCTCTCTCCGATACACCGACGGTCCCGGTACATCTTGAGAGCTATCGGGACATGTCTTGGACGTCGATTTGTGAAGATCCATGTTTTTTTCTTTGTCTCTCTCTCCGACACACAGACGATCCCGGTCAAGAGGTTTGTGAAGATCCGGATGGTTGGGTAGACGAAGGATTGCGTTGGATCAGTCGTGCATGTGATGCCTGACGCAAGGTTGGGTCGACAACATGAGCATTTTGTTCTTTGCTTGATTGATTCTGATCATTCTACTTGCCAGACCACTGGAACGATTGAATGGTTGTTTGCTACTTCGAATGTCGTGTGGTCTCAAAGAGTCGAAATCATACAAACACACACACACGAACGTTTTGTCAATCAGTGGATCATGATCGCTCTAGACCGTATCGACTAATCGGAGATTCACTTGCATAGCTTGCGTTAGGCATCACACACGCACTTTCCATGGAAGGGTGGCTCGTCCAATCAACCGATTTGGTCATGCATTGCTCGAGTGGTTGATTTCATCACTGAGGAACCGCCCGGGTTCAAAACTTTCTCCGCACATCTACATACGACAGTGCACGTGAAAGAAATGGAAACATACATGGCGCGCACAACAGGGCAACATGACGCAATGCAGGAGACAGAGAAATACACGAAACAAGCAAAACACATGCAAACAACGCTAGTCACCGCAAACATACATGGCGCACACAACAGGGCACGAGTAAACGCAGAGGCTCGCTCGGACATGCACAGTCACACGTACTCACACACATGGCATCACTCTCGCACATGGCATCACTCTCACACATCCGCGTGGAAAAGGAACGCCCCATTCCATTAGTCACCCTTTCGACAGGTACTCATCGCGATGAAGATGTCGTCTGGAGAATGGATCCTTCGCACCTAACCTAAAGCCGCGGAGATCGCAGTGAAAGCATCGCGACTTGCGTGGTGCGGCGGTGGATGGTTTGCATTGAGCGAGCGGCGCTCATGGGAAACAAGCCTGTCGGCAAGTCACTGATTGGCGTGAAAGACAACATGAGGCAGATGGTGCTTTGCGATGCAAGTGCGCGCGGTAATTCCAGCTCCGTTCAGACAGCAGAGGATGTGGCGCAGCGCTGAGGATCACGATGGCGTCACTCGCCGTGTGTGTTGCTTGCGGTCGCTTGCGGTTATCGAGTTTTGTGCAGGTTGGATGACGTGGCGCAGTGCTGGAGATTGAGATGACGTCAATCACCGCGGTTCACGGGTGATGGTGTTGACGAGAGAGGGAGTTCGAGTGGTTAGTCCGACAGCATCTCCCCACGGCATGCGATAGTGCGAAATGAGCATTTGGGGGGAGGGTTTCGTTTTATAGGCTCGCACGCCTTCGACACGCGAAGGGCTTCCCCCGCGGAACGGAAGGCCTTTTTCGAAATCGAAATTGTGGGCTCGGGTGGGGGGGCGAGAACTTTAGACCCATTGGACCAAAAGGAAAAAGCGCGGGAGTCCAGGAGCCGTTCGATTCGCTCGATCGATGCCTACGGTCCGTCGGCGCAAAGGGCCTGCATACGACACAGCGCAGTTGAGGGCCGTTGCTGACAATCGCTCACGGGCCTTTCCGGACGCTGTCGGGCGACTACGGGGTGGCGGGGCAGGGGGCTTTTTGCTGAAGGGCAGGAGGACCGTTCTCCCAGATGCCAGACGAAATGAACAGCCAGCCGTGGCTTAGCCGTCCGATTTGAGCATCACACGACCGTTTCTCGCCAGCGAAAAGGGCCTGCGGGGTGAACGTGAGACCCGCGAGCGGGGTGGGAGGCTACCAGGACGATGAACCTCACACAGGAGAGCCTCGCAAAGGATTTCACGAAACTGGCCCTCCCAGTTCACCCTCTCCTTCCTCGGAATCCATCGTGTTCGACGACAGCTCCGCTGCGCTGTGCCATCATCGTCGTGCGCAACAAGTTGCGCCATCGCTGTCTTTCGGCCCTTGCTGCGCCATGGTCGTCGTTCGCCCCGAGCTGCGCTACGCCGTCGTCGTCCTCGGTGATCGACCTTCCAGGTGCGTCGAAGATGCGCTCGAAAACACCACGGCGTCAGGAGACCGTCCCGCTTCTCGCCAATTTCGCGCGAGACTTTTCACGCGTCATGACAGTCTCGAAATGTTGCGGGTCGTCGCCAGTCTGCATGTCGTGTTTCCCTGTCCATCCACTCCTCTCTCCATTTGCTTGCCGCCCCCAACATTTGTTCTTCAGTAATGTCCCTATCCGCCGTTCGCAGTCTAGCTTCTTGTCTGTGGTGTGGAGAGCTGATCGCGCAAGCAACCGTGGGTGACGTGGAGCCGTGCCTCGTCGAGTGAGACAGATCGCCTGTCACGGAAGGGAAAAAAATCCACTGCTGCATGCCACGCACCGAAGGCCTATGACAACGACGCCCGCGGCGCACACTTCTTCCACGAGGAAGTGCATGCTGTCGTCCAGTCCCGTGCTGTCATCTATTGGTTCGTGCCAACGCGTTGATGCCACCGTGGGATTGGCCGTGGGCAGGCAATGCAAGCTTCTCGTCGTGTGCTGCTTTGTTCGTTGATGAAGAGCAGACGGTTGTGGTCCCCTGTGTGTACATCAAATTAATGGTTTCGAGCATCACCCGTTGGCGCACATTTTCATGAGCACGCATCTTCATGATTACGCGATCATGACGGTTCTTGAGCAATTGTCCGGGCGCATTTTTCATGAACACGCATCTTCATCATGGAACGATCATATGACCACTCGATCACGACTATTCTTGAGCAACGATTGCTACGTTCATTGTCTTGTTGTGACGTCGATGGAAAACAAGGTTGTCGATGGCCCAGTTGCACACTGTGGTCGATGCAAAACTAGGTTCTCGCCGTGCTCTGCTATGTGGCCCAAAGGGCGCTGTTCGCGGCTGGACAAGAACCTCGTGCCGCGTCACCGACATTGCACGATAACGACCACAACTTCCTGAGTTGTGTTCGTTGTCGTGAAATATCGTCGATTCGGAACGAGGTTCTCCAGCCGCGAAGGGTGCGCTGAGGTCCACGTGACAGACCGCGGCGAGAACCTCGTTCCTCATCGACCAGAACGTGCAACTGGGCCATCAATTTCCGCCTTCTTCTTGCATCCACCTCAATCAAGCGTCTGGCCATTTGTGCGACACATCCGACTTCTCTTCAAAAACTGTTTATTGCGGCACGTGTGATCGCGGGTGCGCCACGTGTATGCTCAAGCGTGTCCCGCAGTGTAGTCTTGACTGCACAGTCGGCATAAAAGCGCAGCGAGCACGGTCAAGCGTGTGATTGCACGCACGACACGTGTGCCTTTTCACTAGCAACTGTCCTGGCGGTGATTGTCGTGGTCCACCGGGATCCGATCTTGCACGTGTGCCTTCTCATAAGCACATGAAGTTCGGATATCGGCGGACTAGCATGACTGCAAGCCATTCATGTTGAATTGTGAAGGTCGCAGCCATGAACATGAAGTGCGGATCCCGGCGGACTTGCGGTTCGACCACTAATTCGAAACGTGCGCAGTGCACAAACGACTCAGAGCAGTTTGTGTACCGTGCGAGTTTCGAATCAATAACAGCAAGTCCGTCGGGATTCGCACTTCATGTTCACGACCTTGACCTTCACGATTCAACAAGAATGGCTTGCAGTCATGGTAGTCCTCCGGCATCCGAACTTCAAGTGCATGGGTCGGGTTACACATTTCCAGCCAATCCGGTCTAGGACGCTGGTGGCATGATTGCTCGCTTTTCAGACTAGCGGTTGGCCTTAATTACCGAGATCCATGGTTTCACAAAACTTGGATCCCGGCGGACTTTAGGTGATGCGTACCGGCAAATCCATCGACTCGAAAGACCCCGATTTGGGAACATCAAATGTGCTGTCATTGCCAACAACGTTTATGACGAGCCTCGTTGGTTTCCCACTTCAACCCTGTGAGGCCCAGTAATCAACGGTTGCCCTGCGGGGAAGTCGCTTTGGAAAAATTACACTCCTCCAACATCAGGGTCTAACAGTCGTTACTGGGGACTCGAAGCAAAAAAAATCGGTCGTCCTCGACCACTCTAAACCCCTCCCGCCAATACTGTCCTTCCGCCCGTCTCGACCTAAGTTCGCCGACATCCTGACTTCCGCATCCACGGTAGTCGGCTCCGCGCCGCAGCCCCGCTCTTCCACTGCTCTGCCATGAGGTGCAGGCGGCGGAACCATCCACCGGTGGCTCGACTGCTCGCTCTCTGCTGAAGCAGTTAGCCTCAATTGCCGCGATACCCGATTTCATAAAGTGCAGATCAGGGCGGACTGAAAGTAATTTGTGACGTTGAATTCATCGCCACGCAAGACCCTAGTTTAGCAAAATTAAATGTGGCTGCCATTGCCAACATCCCATTTCATATGAGCCGCGACTATTTTTCGCTCCGAACCCGGCGAGCCCCAGTCACCGACGGTTGCCCCGTTTTTCCTAGAGACGTCGCTTCGCGATAACACATTCAGGCAACATCACGGTTTGACAGTCGTTGCTGGCGACTGCAGCAAAACAAGAAAACGATCGTCGCGTCTGGTGTGTGCCTGATTAGGGGCCCGACAACCATGTTTTCCTTAAACCTCTGACTCTCTCTGAGGTGTGCGCCTGGAGTGGGAAATGACCCGAATCCTAGTGCCACGACGGGGACAACCGCGACCTAGCATGCCGTTCAGGGGGTGGCTGAATCGGGTTTTGTGGGGATTGTTGAAGGAGCCTATAACCTTGTTCTTTTCTAATCGTGCATGATTGTTGAATGGCCTCCCGACAGTGCACAGTTCGCAATCCCGGGACACAGATCGCTGACAAGTTTGGATCCCCGCGAACTTCGAGGATCGTGCTTGTTGTGGCCATTTGGGAGATCCACCATCTATTTGCCGTGGTTGACGCACGACCGTAGCGAGGACTGCGGAAGTAGACATTGCCAGCGCACGTGTGTGCGTTGTCGATTTGCAAAATGGGGATTCCTGGGGGATGCATGAGAGGCATTTCCAGCACACGGCCTCGCCTTGTCGCTGGAGTTAATCGGGGTTTGTAGGGGGTCACTTGTGAGACGTGGAACCATAATTTTCATTTCCGCAACGAACTAAACGAAATTGTCGGTGATGGTAAGCTCGGCCTTGATCTATCTCTTCTACCACAAACCCGTCGATCTGTAACCGTTCGAGACGCTGTTGTGGTCATTCGTGTGCCTCGCCTGCGAGGAACACGAGTTTCAAAGCCTCGTGGACTGTCGAGGCTTGCAGCGCCACCCCACGTCACTGTTGGACCTGTACGGGGATCTGCACAATGTGCTGCCGGGGGGGGGGGGGGGGGGGGGGGGGGGGGGTGCTAGAACGCGTCCATCTTGCCACACGTCACACAATGCCTAAAATTCAGAGAATTGAGATACGGGGGTTGTGTAGACTCGAATAGTCCATACGACTATGTTGCACGCTGGCCGCGGCCGGGTTCGGCCCAGGCCGCGGCCGGCGGTGTAGGCCGGGACCCCCCCGGCCGCGGCTTGTCCGGCCGAGTTTTTTCGGCCTCGGCCTCGGCCGATCTGGGGGGCGGTTTTCGAAGCGGAGAGCGGGTTTGGGGTGCGGGGGTTGGAAGGCACCCCTTGAAAGTGACAAGGCGTCAAAAAAATAAAAAACGGCGGGGTCCTGCACATGGCCCTGGAAGGGTGGGCCGCGAAAATTCGTGCGTCTCCCACGTGCGGGTTCTTCGATGCGGGGTCGCAGGGGAGAGGGTCTGGAACACTAGAAAAAAAAAAAAAAAAAATTTAACCCCTGCGGGGGCGGCCCAACGTGGGTTGGATGAGGGCCTGCTTGGGGCGGCCCGTGCGGCCAGGTCGGGTCGAAGCTGGATGGGGCTGCAGATGGCAGACCCCAGGCGGATCAGGGCCTCAGGCACTGAAAGGCAGGCGTCGGTTTCATTCGTGAGGGTGATGACAGTTCGTGACATATTTTGAAACAACACATTCATGGCAATCATAAGTCAGACCCTTGTTGGCATACCAAAGTCAAAACACATTCAAAATCAATCACAGTGCGGAGAACCATAAGTTTCAAACAATGTCATCAGGCAAGTGTGTCATAGTGTGTGTTCACTCATCAGACTGGTGGACATTTTTTGTAAGAACACATTCATTAGCACATCATCCCTATGTCGCATCTGAAATTAACAACACATTCATAATGGAGGCATCCATGACATGCGGGTGCGTGGCATCGGAGAAGCACATAATTTGCAACAATCACGACAACAAACCACAAACCACTCACCAAACAACAGCGACTCAGATGCAAGACCAATGTTGGTAGAGGAACACGAACAAAAGCAAATATATGACAAAGCATTTCAATGGAAATGCGTATGTACAAGGCTGAAGCCAAAAACTGGACCCGTCGTCTCTACTGTACAACCGGGTAGCAAAAGAAAATTGGACCCTATGTTCAAGGCTGAAGCAAAAAACTGGACCCGTCGTCTCTACTGTACAACCGAGCAGCAAAAAAAAAAAAAAAAAAAAAAAACCTAATGTCCACATACTGTCGTCGTCTCCATGGAACAACATCGACATAAATATGCAACAACCCTGCCGACTGAGCGTCCAGGCTGTACAGCCATGCAAAAAACAAAAAAAACTAATGAAAAAAAAAAAAATACCACGGACGTCGTCATCTCCCTCCAGAGCGCGCGCGGCCTCTCCCGGAGGTCGGACGGCCATCCCCGACGCCCTCTTCTCCCTCCGGCACCTGTGCCCCGTGCCCCGCTGAGGTATGCCGCCTGTGCTGCAGCGGCTGCCGCAGCCACCTGTGCCTTGTGTCTGCGGGCCGCAGTCTCGATCGGCTCGGACTCTGTGTCAACGTCCTCGTCCTCCGCCGCCCGTGCAGCAATCCCCATCTCTCTCTCCCTCTGAATCGCGTCCAATGCTGCCTGGCCAGCGGCGACCCCTGCCGCGAGTCGAGCCTCAACCTCCGAGAGGCCATGCTGTCGTCTCGTCCCAGGACGCCTCAACAACCCCTGCTCGCCCGATGTGAACTGCTCTCCGCGCAGCATGTCCGTGGATGTCCCTGCGGCCTCGAGGACCAATGATCTCCTTGTCTCCGCTCGTGACAAACCGAGCATGCGGCCTGCCATCTGCAGGCTCAAACGTCCGGACCCACCCTCCGCAGCCTGCGTCTGAACTTGCGTAGGTCCCGTGAAGATGCCCGTCCGGCGTCGTAATCCGCCCGCAACCGGTCCCCGACCCGACGAACAGCTGACCATCCTCGGACTGTCGGCGGGGATCCGCCACTGTGCGCAACTCCGGGTGCCGCCGTCTGGTCCCTGGTGTCGACCCTGCCCTCCGGAGTCCGTGCGGGCGGTGGAGGCATCGATCCTGCACTATCTCTGCCGCCGTCGCTGCGTCTGCCGGACCCCACCTCACCCGCTCCGGACTCCCTCCCTCTCACGCCGCTGAGTGACGAACCCGACCAGTGAGGGCTCTCCACCACGAACGGCGGCGGTGAATATACCCTCCCAGGGGCCCGCCTCTTGCCGCTCTTGCGGCTCACGTGTGCGAAAGGGTCATCCGTGAACGCTTGCGCCAAAGCGTCGACGTCGAAGAAAGTGTGCGCTATGTCGTCAGGGTGCAAGGGAGGTACTATGGGGTCCCTCAACACGAAGGCGAGCCTATACGCATCGTCCTCGGGACCGTGGTCGTCATCATCATCTCCGTCCGGTCCATCATCTCCACCGACACCCGCGGTATCCCCATCTCCACCGGGTCCACCCTCTCCTCTGGCACACACGGCGGCACCCTGTCCCTCATCACCCGCGGTCTGGATGTCGCCACGCCCCCCGCTAGGGGACCCACCGCCCACGACAACATCCTGCTCCTCATCACCCGCGGTCTCCTCGTCGCTGCGTCGTCCACCACCTGATCCACCACCCGCGGCGGCATCCTGTCCCTCATCATCGAACTCCCCCTGAACTGCCTCCTCAGGGCTACCCGAGGCGTCGACGTCACGGCCTCCCCCTCCTCCTGTCTCCATCTCCCTCTGTCGACGCTGCTCGTCAAGATACGCGAACCGACCCTCCCATCATGGCAAACTCCCCAGTTGCTCCTCCTCCTCTCAGTCCAAACGGGCATCCCTCTCCTCCTCAGTCTCAACAGGGACCCGCACAACGTCTGTGTTGGTGCGCACATCAGACGGTGAGGCACGTCGACGTCCCTCGACACTGAAATCTCCCAAGCTCCCACCAAGCCCTACGACGTCAAAGTCGTCTGTGCGGAGCACCGACGGCAAGCGGGGGCGGATACCGGCGTCGGAAGAAGTCCTCTCCCCCCCACGATCCTCGCCGTCATGTGTCCAGTCTCTGCCTGCTGCCGACGCCAACCTCTACGAACGCCTAAGTGCCTCGGGTTGTACAATGCTCCGATGAAGGGAGGCAGAGAAGCACGATCGTGAAGGGGTCGGCCTCCTCCTCGGCCTCGCTGTCGCTCCTAACCTCTCATCGCCTGCCTGTCTGCTGAAGACCTCCCTGTGGCTGCTGCTCCCCCGAGTCGTCGACGCCAACCTCCGCATGCGAACGTCCTCCACGACCACCACCGGCTCTACTGCTGCCACTCGCCTGTGCGGTCGACGGCGCACCACCACTGATAACTGATGTGAATGAATCCATGCCGTCACGACCCCCACCGTAAGTGAAGTACACCTGCTCAGCCGTCGGGTCGCTACTCAGCGGCGTGTCATCGTCATCTGTCCACTCGTCGTCGATGTCGTCGTCTGCCGCAGCAGCGTCCACATCATCCCCACCCTCTGGCCACGGTCGCAGCTCCGTCGCCCTGATGCCGAACACGTCCCAAACCGAATGGGCTCTGGACGGTTGGCTATGATGGAAAGCAACACTCTGCCGCTCAATCTCCACCTCTGGAACATTGCCAGCAGGTCGCGCTCCCCACACCTCGGGCTCCACATCTCCGTCCTCATCCTCTTCCTCTGCCGCCGTCCCCCCCCGACCGGTCCCCATAACCCATGGCAACACGTAGCCACCACCCTGCTATGCGCACGAGGCCAGTTTGAGATTGGTGGCAATCTCAACCAGCTGTGCAAGCTTGGCAAACCCAAGCTTGCAGCGCCTCGCCGTGTTGACGCGCTCATGCTGCGCCCAATTCCTCTCCGCTGGAGAGGCAGACGTCCACAAGTGCATGACACAGATGGCGATGGTGTGCAACTCCGGGTGGGCACGTCCATGCTCAAACCACCACGCTGCACATCGCCCGGTCTCGCTGTCCCCCCTGCAATCCTCCGCCTCGGCATCGCAGAGGTCACCTCCCCAATCCCCTCGCCTCGAGTGGAACGCCCTCATCTGGTCCCTCATGGTCCTGTACAATCTGCCGACCGGATCGCCGCCGGTCTGCGCCAGGAGAGATCTGTCGCACTCCTCGACCATACGACGGTCGTCGGCGGTCGTCTCCAACGAATGGTAATACGTGAGGGACCGTCGACGAGGGTTGAGGAGGTGGGCCGCGACATGTGCGGGCTCTAGCATGTGGAGGTTGCGGATGGAAACCTCACGCACGCACGGCTCGATCATGTCCTCCGGAACGTCCACCCTCCTCATCAACTGCACCACATGCCGACTCCACTCGTAAACGACGGACATCATCATCCCCCCCCTATCCATCCTGCGATACAGCTGGTGGACGGGCGACATGACAAGGATGGCGTACTGGACACACTGCCAAAACTCCCCGTCCCGGATCTGCTGCTGCACCCACTGCGCTTGAGATACATGCCTGCGCTCCCACGGGATGCGTGACCAAGCATCCCCATGCAACATGCTCTCCAACGCGTCTCGTCGGCCTTTGAAACACGTCAGCATCAGGAAAACCGATGCGAACCGTGTCTCAACGGGCTCGACGAGATGAACGCGAGGGCTCACCTTCCTAAACATGGTGTGACCAGCGCCGTGCGATTAAATAAATCGCACAAGCGCTCGAGCGCGGATGATGGTGTCCTTGACCCACCCCACTCGCGTCCCGATATCTGAAATCATCAAGTTGCAGACATGGGTGGAGCAGGGGAGCCAAGTGATCCTCCTAATGTCGGGCTCGGGGTCAGTGGCGAATCAACTCGCTGCCGCCGTATAGTTACTGGCGGAGTCAGTGCAGGAGCCGATCACGTCCTTTGTAGGAAAGGACAAGATGATGGCCCGCCACCTACGGTACACGATGTTCGCGGTGTCTCGGACCGACCCGTCGCGTGCGATGGTGGCGTATAGCAGGGCGCCATTGGCGCCTTTGGCGAGGAAGTTCAGGAGCGGCTTGCCGTTGCGCGAATTCCTCCTGTCGAATAGCATGGTGGCACTGCTGTGCCGGAAAGCGGCGCGCACCTCGCTCACCATCGTCTCCACCTTCGCCCTCTGCGAAGGGATACCGGTGCCCGCTGTGACCTTGAAGGAGGGAAACCGGAACTGGATACTGCGAGGCACTCTCTCGGCCGTCTGCCGCACCTTTTGGAATTCCGGACCACGGAAGGCGTTGAATGGCAACCCCTTCACGTAGATCCACTGCAGCCACGCGTCTGTGAACTCCGCCAACTTCTCCCTGGCGTACATCTCGTCAATCGTGGTCTGTCGGGCCCTCTTCTCCCTGCTCGTGTCTCGCACCTCGACGCCAGCCTCCCCCACTGCCCTCTTCTCCCTCCTCGCGTGATCCAACTCAGGTCGAGGCGCCCTAGGAGCGGGACCCGCTTGACCGACGCCTCTCGACGTCATCACCACCTCCTCCCCTGGCAGGTCAGGCTCTCCGACTCCCTCGTCTGCCTCGTCTGCCATCCCCCCCTCCCTAGCCCCACCCTCGCGGCCCTCCTCCTCATTGAGGGCATCCTGAATCTCGTCACTCTCTGCGTTGTCCATTCGCTGTCGCTGGCCACCCGCGGGCGCTCTCGTGTCCCGTATGCCCTCGTCTGCCATCCACCTCTGCACCCGCTCAGCAGTGGACAGCACGAATGTGTAGTCCGTGCCGTTCCAGAGTTCCGTGAGAACTTTCATTCCCCCAGCCTTGCAGAACTTCGCCTGCGTGAAATGGCGCGCGGCCTTTGACGACCTCCCCCTGAAACAGGTGGCCGCATAAGTTGCAACGCAACTTTCGGTCCCCATGCATCTTCGACTTGTCCTCGGCGTACTGCCTCGAGGTGACGAAGTTCCAAATTATGTTCCCTCGCCTCAACTTCGCCATCTCCTTCTCGGACAGTGGCTTGAATTGGGCACCCCCAGACCCCCCCGCACCGCTGCTCCCTGCACCCCCCATCATCGCCCCCCCACCCGGATCCAACAAGTCATGGCGTCGATCGTCGATATCGTCTGACCTTGCTGCACCGTCGATGTAGTCCCCGACGTCCCCGCTGCCGACGTTGCCGCGTCCCCCCTACGTCGTGCACTCCCGTGGCCCCCGCGCTCCCCGGCTGGTCGGCCGCAAGCACATCCGGAAGCGACACCGGCCGTGTCCGGCCCTGGCCGGCCGTGCTCGGCCGTGTTCGGTCGTGATCGGCCTTGTCCAACCGACATCGGCCTCGTCCGGCCGCGACCGGGCACTAAAATGGCCGCACGCTTGAAAAGGCCGTGCGCGGCGATGGCGAAGGCCGTCTGCCGGTCGCTGGACCACACCGGCGCGATGTCCCGCTGGTCGCACGGCGCGCGCCGCTGCCAGGTGCGCACCGAGAAGAAGAAGAAGAAGAAGAAGAAGAAGAAGAAGAAGAAGAAGAAGAAGAAGAAGAAGAAAAAGAAGAAGAAGAAGAAGAAGATCTCTTTCTCTCTATCTCTCTCTCT